AATGTCGCCCTTCTTATTTCATTCAAATAGAAATGTGCAACGTGTTGTAACTTCAAAGTTTTGCAGTTGTCAAAGTGATCGATCAATATCAGTTGCCATGAAAGTTGTTACTCTGCTAAAAAGGGCGACATTCATACGAACACTTTTATCACTTGTCATGTCGCCGTGCCTGAGCGCGCGAAATCCCAGGCCTATCATTGGTGAGATATAATCGCTTATTATTCAAAAACTATTATAGCCTCGACATTTTTGTGTTAGAATTTTCGTCTTGAAATTTTCTAAAAAATCTGTGATTGAAAGGATATCCGGTGGTCTCAGTACACCCTATATATATACGTGTCGTCCCCCACGTGATCTCACTTGCCCGATTGTTCATTCCCGAACAGAAGAGGTTTCGCAAGAGACCCAACTCCGCCGCGTCTTGTACAAGGTGCAATTTTATCTTCACCGTAGCGAGGTCGTAAATGAATGAAACATCAGCCGGAGGAGCGTACGGGGGTTAACCAGAAATAATTAATTCGTGCGTCCAAGGTGGAAACCAATGGCTACGCGAGGAGTACTATAGCCGGAATAGAATTCTGCAAATAGAATTTTCTAATTTTAGCGCGGCAAATATCGAAGCCGCAATGCATCGCCAGTGCATTATGCATACGAGGGCTGCCCATAGCTGATCATGAATCATCGGGGACGTTTGCATCGCACGATAAGTTGAGCGTTGTATACATACATGAAATAGCTATATATAGCTATTACAGCTGCACACACACACACACACACACATATATATATATTAAATATGTATACATAGCGTTACAGTGTATTTACTATACGTTATAATTGCATGAACGGAGACAACTATTAACAGCTTCCACATATACATGTACACGTAACTGATACAAATAGTTGTCTATCTATGTAAATTACGCCTAGCGATATCCGCGATAAGCCCGAGACGTCCGTCTGAAAAGGAAATTAACTTTGATATCAATTGCGGACCGGTTGCGCACGGAGCCGCATCGAGCGAGATAATTAATGTAACGACGACAACGGTGTAATAAACGCGCGCGACGAATGTCGTTGGACTCATCAAGGACAAAAAAGTGACATAAGCCATACACATATCCGCGCAAGCTAATCTACCAGTCTCCATCTCCGCGCGCGCGCACAGACGGCGAAAGCCCACGTCGCGCGTCGCGACGTGCATCGATAATCGCGGATTTAATTAATCCCGATTATTAATTGATATTCTAATTACGCGAGCCAAGCCGCGCGATCCGTCCTGACGAT